TAGCATATTAACAAGGATATGAAATATTCTAAATGTGAAAGCTAAAATTCCCGATTCTGAAAATCCTTTTTAGGATTATCCATTATAGTCCTTTCTTTCCCCCTTTGTTTTATTATTTTATACTTTTTTTTTTTTTTCCCAGTAAGTATAAGATACTTGAGAATGATGAAGCCCTCCAGGTATTAGGCAGTTTTGCTTCAAGTTCATGACTTAGGATTCTATTAATGATCAGTTCTGGCCTCTACACCTCCCCACAGACTCATAGAGATAATGAGAAGAGCAGGGAATTATCGATCAAAACTAATGTGGCTTCCTTGTAGATCCTGAGTTTCTGTGTTAAACAAAATCAGTCAATGCCCACTGAAAAGCCTGTTAATCATAAGGTATGAAAAATGTTTTATTGACTAAGATTCTCCAGAAAATAATATAGCTACAATGCTTGCAAAGAATAAAAACTTATTAAAATTTTAAAAAGGTGGTGTTTTGTGTTTTTCTGTTTTGTTTTGCTTCATTTGGGGTTTTTTTAAGAAGACTTTTTTTTACAACATAAATTGTCTGAACACTTTAACTTCAGTTACCTGAGATCCAATTATATGAAATTTAGGAATCTGGGGTATCCAGATCAATGCCCTGGGATTTCTCATAGCATAAATGTAATCCAAACTCAGTTCCAGAACATGAGAATCTTCTAATCACAGGTTTCAGGTAAGCAAATGAAAGATTGCCATCCTCGTTTCCTTTGAGCAATTAAACAACTTCTCTCATACTACTTTTCCTCTTATAAACTGTTCCTACATTCTGGGGGAAATTACAATTTATTTTTGAGCTACAAATACATATTGGACAGAATTACTGGAGTCTACTGAACATTTAAACATCCATCCCACACTTTACAGGTTAATATACTTGTATTCTATGAAATGCTTTGGCATAACAAATCTGATTTTCAGGTGGATGCAATAAAGAATGCAAACCATGGGTACATGAGTACACATGCTGTTTTCATACTGGGAAAAAAAAGAGAATAATTGCTATCTCCCAGTCTCTCACAGGCTCCAGCTTAAAAAACTGATGAAGCTTGACTGACACACAGGGAAATTACTCTGGTGATAAACCAGATGCTACGTTGAAGCATAATAACTTATTAAAGTAATGCAACTGAGGTCACTGCTGTGGAATTTGATCACAGAAAAGGGACTAGGGACTGCTAGTTGTAAATAATAATAATGTAGCTAAAAGTGCAGGCAAACTACTGTCATAATATCACAAACCCTACACTCATGAATAAAAATTCCATCACAACCAAACATACCAAACATATATTATGACTCTGTGGGTCTACGAATGAAGCAATCAACACTAAATCAAGCTTGAAATCAGGGTGAATATTGATGCCATTTTTTCAGATTACATTAGCAATCTGCCATATTTAAAGACTGATAGAAAAAAATAAAAGAGTAAATCAGCACTTTCCATCACAGGGAGGCATTTCAAGAAAATCTCTGTTCTTCATGCTCTGCTCAGACCAAGCCCTGAACACTGCATCTTCATTTTTAACAATTCCAGTTTTATCTATCTGACATATACTGTCTTTCATCTTTTAGGAAAAGGCCTTAGCTGATGTAGCAGAATGGATTTTGGTAATCAACTCAGGGCTTACTCTAAGAGCTATGTTCACAAGTGCAATCTCAGACAATGCTTCTGAGGTTTAAGAGCCCTTAAATTACTTACTCTTTTTGCTGCAATAACTGACACTTGCATTTCAGAGCTCCAGGAAACATACAGCAAAACTAAATATATTCTAAGGCACTTTTCTCCATTAACATTGAACAAATGGTAGCCAGGTACAACATGATGCATTTGAAGGTTGTAAAAATTAACAGCTTTGGTACTGAATCTTCAAAACAGTCTCTTGCCAGAAGCTGTGACACAGTCGTTAGCTAATGTTTTCTGGTCAGTAGGTTAGCAGGTCATGCTTCCTATGCCTGCTTCCTTCACAAATGACTTTGCATTCATAATTAAAGGTCTAGGGTATAATTCTGCTACTTTACTTCAAAGAAACCTCATTAAAATCAAGACTACATAAAGAATGAAATTAAAAATAAAAATAAAACACCACCAGTAAGATTTTTTGAAAGCAGAAATGTGTTCTTAAACAACAATTACATTCTTAACATCCAGTATATTATGAATAAATAAAATGTGTAAAAGCACGCTCTGTGTCCTATTTAAGAAAGCTAAGAGAAGGATATAATTGTTTGGAAAACGTGATTCTTTATGGTAAAAGAACACCCAACAATTATGTTTGGATGTTGTATTCCTAAATTAGCAGTGTTTGACTTAGTATCAGAGACAAAACTAGCTTTTCTCAGACCTAATTTTAGGTAGATTTCATGTTCTGTCCAGAAGAAAACATTGGCAGCTGTGTTTGAAACATCTAGAAATGAATATAAACAGAATGGAAAATTCTTTGAACTACTATTCTTTAAACTATGAACCTGGTAAATTCACAGTCGGATAGTTGTTAGTCAGTGGCCGATTTATCTGACAGCTGTATTTGCAAGCAGAACATCAGAGCGAAGATAAAATGCTCATTTATTCTTTTGTATATAATTATGTTTATGGTATGTACAACTATTTTTTTAACAATTCAAGAATAAACCTACAGATCGAGGATTTGGCTTGTGCTTTCATTTTAATTTGGGAACTTGACATATGATTCTAGATATCGTTATCTTTTTTGAGCTTTGATTACGGAACATCCCTAACATTGTCCAGGAAAGCTAAGCAGTATCTCCTACATGTCTTGCAATTACCATTCCTAGCAAAGGGCTCAACATCTTAAGTATAAACATTTCACAAAATAATAAAGATCTGCGTTACTAGATCTTATTAGAGCTATGTTGAAAAGCTTTAAAAAGATTAATTATAGTACTTGGACATGTAAGTTAATGGGGAGCTCTATTTTTCAACTGATGAACTTCCCACTTGTTTTTCAAATGTGGAGTATTACATAAAGAACCCTCTCTAATTACACAATATCTCAGCATAGATCCTGTCATCCATTTCTCTGTTTTCATAAAACGGTGATCAAGACCACTGAAAGCAAAAGGAGATTTGAAAGGCCTTCTTGAGTGGCCAATAAGATAGATAGGTTAGACAGATTAGATAGGTAGGTAGGCAGGTAGGTAGGTAGATAGATTAGATAGATAGATAGACACATAGACAGAGAGAGAGATAGATGATAGATAGATAGATAGATAGACAGATAGATAGATAGATAGATCGATAAGATAGGTAGCTAGCTATCTAGCTAGCTAGATGATAGATAGATAGATAGATAGATAGATAGATTGATTGATTGATTGATTGATAGTGTTCTCAAATATTAAATTATCTCAAACCTTTCATACTTGGAATCTAACCTAATACAGCAATTAGAGGATGAGGTGTAGTCATGTCTTCTTACTTGTACATTCTGCTAATCTAATCTCTCAGCATCACAGGTGACTTAAGGCAAGGCAGAAATGGTGAGTACCAGGACATCTTATTTATCTGAGGCACTGAAGATGAGACAAAATACTCTAATAAGGTGCCTTTTACTCTGTTGGGTATAAAGGAAAACTGAAGTTCCTAGGTTAGACAACTAACTCTGGATACCTAAGTTACAGCAAATGAATCTCACCACAGGCCATAACTGACTGAGGAAGAATTGTATTTAGTTCCCATTAGAAGATGAAAACGTCGTATTTTCCCTTATGACTTTCAACACATGTTGAAATTTTAATTGCTAATTTTTTTTTTTTTTTTGCTGAGGTTACAACTACAAATGACACAATAAAATCATTCTATGATTCTATGGTTCCTTTCTTAAGCAGTTAAGCCTGTTAGAATAAAACAGGAAAGAATTACTGGATACTGTATCACATTACGAAAATGACAGCTAAGAAACTGACTTAGAGTACCAAAACCAAAATGCAAAAATAGAATATGCATGATGTTCTATATTTAGCTTTCTGGGTAGGCTTTGAAATCTCCTTTGAGCTGTCTTGTTTGAGAATCACTGGTAAGACCAAATTCTGAGGCAACAGTTGGGTGTTCTCAGCAATATTTTTATCTGAGGACTCAAACCAGTCAGCCTTCAAAGGCAATCTGTGAATTTGTTATAGTTCTGTAAACACACATCTTCTTTTTACTTTTGTTAGCTGAGCCTAGATCAAAACACACAATTTTACATCAACTATTTTCAATATGTCTCCAAATTTATTTTTAATCTAAAAGTTTGCTAATGGCCTTGCACAGGCAGACCTCTCTTGAAGATTGTCCCACTGTGAACATCTGATTTAGCTGTAACACAGAAATTTGTCTCAAAAACTGATTTCAAAGTGAAACATTTCCATACCTCTCTGTACGTCAGCAGTTTTCCAGCTGCATGCAATCACTGCATCTGCAGTGAATCATACAGAATTATAATTTTAAGGAGTGATGTATGCTGGACATGTGAGGTATATTCAGATACTGTATTCTAACTATAGTATCATTGTTTCTTCAACAACATTAACTATCACACAGGAGCAGTCACATTAGCTTCCCATTGGCATAAAACTGCTCAGGCTCTTTTACAGTGGTTTTGTTAAGGTTTTTTTTTTAGTTTGTTTTTATTTTTTTTTAATAAAAAGGTAAGGAATAAAAACTGGGGGAAAAGAATGCCATTTCATTGCTGATGCTATCATCACATGCAAAACATAACAAGAGTGTTCTGTTAACATTCAACTGCATATGAAATTAAAACAAAAGTGAAATTCCAATTAAAAAAAATGTAACTGAAATATCTATACTATTAGTAATACTCTCTTGGGGAATTTCCATGATATTGCCATTACTAGTAGGGACACATAAAAAATTCTTGTATAGAGCTTTTATTTTTTTAATGAGACACTACCAGTTTTACACCGCTCTTGTACTGGCAGAAACTCATTGAATTGAACTTTGCTTCTTACCATCAACACAGGCTGGCCTTGCTCTTGTTGTACCGGCAATCTGTCCTTTTTTACATGCACAGCGAGCTGTTTGTCGGGCTATAGTCCTTCGGGGCTGACTGCTATCTCTGTCCAAAGTAACAATCTCACATGTACCTGCAGCCAGTTGACCTGGAAAAAGAACCAGCAACAGGTACCAGAGTCACTGAATGCACTACAGGCAATCTATTACAGCCAAATAGAGTCGTGGCCCTATGTCACAGCAGACACTCCACAACAAATGGGCAGCCAGCTGATGGATATAATAAAATGAGATGACACACAATTTTTCTTTGTGGGGGACATATGAATACCCTGCAAATGGGCTTTGTCAGAAAATGATTATTGTTCCATAAAAGTCATAGTGCTGAGGTTACACAGGTTACTTTTACTTATGTTGGCTAAGTAAAGGAACAATCTGCTTTTAAGCAATTAAATTCAAATGGTGTGCTCTTTACACATTTTCAGAAAAGAAATGATAAAGAATATGGAAAACAAAAAACTTCCTCACATGTCCATGAATATAATGGAGACTTAACTGCTTTGTGTGATGGTTTTGAAAGAAAAAAAATCTCTCAAAGTACGCCTGAATTTGACCAGATTGTCAGTCCTTTGGTTCTTGCTTCATCTAAACTGAACGGCAATTCATTCTCTGCCTGACCCCTATTCAAAGTAACAGGTCTTTTTTTGTTTTACTAAATTTAGTATGCAGCCATCCTGCAAATGGCAGTAAAATGACACTGCACCATGAGCTCAGTAACATTGTTTGCTTTTTATTGACTTCTTCAGTTTATGTAGCTTTCCCTGAATACTGAGGAAATCTACACCACCTAATTCTGAGTTTGGACCATGCTATGAGACGCTAAACAAAAACCACAAAAATTCTCTGCAAAAACTTCTTTCATGCAGAATAGTAGTCTGAAATAAATGTTATATATTTTTAATTATGCACTTCCTCTGATACAACCAACAGTAGCTTGGCTACTAGGTGGCATACTGTACTTTGGTATACTAGTTGGTTACTAGTATACCAAAATATTACCTTTTACAAGCAAGGAAGATACATTATTGAATTTCAATACATATGAAGACTGAAAACAAATCTTGAATATCACTTTGTATCACACATAATTTCTGGATTTTTCTGGTACAGTAGTAAATATAATTTCTATTGTATTTTGCCTTTGCAGGCAATCAATTATAAGCCTTCAAATGAAGATGTGAAAAAATATAATCTGCAAATCACAAGCTTACTATGTTTTGCTTTCACAAAAAGTAAGATTGGAACAAATGCAACACTGTATTTATAAAAACGTTGTCCAGTTCAAGTCATAATCAGAGTAAATTATTTTTATGCTGTTGAAATACTGAAAAAGACCAGTAAGACAAAAAGCTGAATTTTTAAATTTATATTAACACAATTAAAGGAAAAAACAAAATAAAACAACCAAACAAACCAACAACACTCCCCAAACAAAACACAAAACTCCCTGAAGTGTATGTGTATGGCATGAAAGTCTAAAACTATAATGATATTTCTGAATACTGCATTTTTTTCCATTCAGAATACAAGTTTACTCATATTGCTCTCAAAACCAGCTTATGATGCTTCCTATTGTGTGGATCCTGTCTTGAAACTGTCAGAATAGCAAAATACTGCCAATAGCATTGTGACTGGTCCACTGCTAAGACACCAAAATTTTATGTTGCTGTGACTCCTACAGTGCAGTGAATTACATGGTAAAACTGAGGATCTCAAAGACTAATATGGAACAAATTAGTCTACAAATTTATGAAAATATGTGACATACATGTAAGTAATATGCATTAGGCATTTATAAATACAGACATGATACTCACAATAGTGAACACTTTCACCATACTTTTTAACTGCTGCTAGCAACTAGACTTGTCATCTATGGTCAGCCTTGGGGTTCTACTGTTTTCTACCCACTCTCTTAATAAAAATATCTTATGACAAACATATACTGATGAGAAGATTTTTACTCTATCATATGCTAGTCTTTTGTTTCCTCTGAAATCTTGGATTAGGAAGCAAAGGTTTAGCAAGAACGATAGTGGCACATAATTTTCCAAGGACAAGGAAAATCCAGATAGAAACTGAAACATCTTGAACTTAAAAAAAATAATACAAATAAAAATCTTTTTCCCCCATTGCTAATATATTTCATTCTGGGGTGCAAGAGATGTATTGCTCCCAAGGAATACAGCTGTCTTAGTAGATCATGTAAAAAAGACATAATCAGAGGTGTATTTAGATCTTGACCCCTTAGGCATTTGAATATCGTGATTAGGGACCTGCACTGAGAATACAAATAGAATGGAAACCAAAGAAAAAGTGGAAGCATAAATATGACATGTTTAAGTGTTCCTGAAAGTATGGGTTGCAATATTCACTACTGTTTCTAAGTCTTTACACTAGCATTTCTTTCATTAAAAGCTAAAACATATAATGTAGGTGATTTGTTATATAAACCCCAGTTAAGAGGAAAGGACAGTTTTACAGCACGGTGAAGGTAAATAAGGACTATATGCTGAGCCGAGTAAAAGAACAATGAAGCTTGCTGTCAAGATAATTAGTGAAAACAAAAGCTTTCCAGGGAATGCAAGTAGTTACTCTTGATAAGAACGCCTATAGATCATCTTTTCTGCTTTTGGACCTGTCCAGTTTTAGATCTGTATAGGTTCATTTTAAGGCACCTGGGCAATTTGGTTTTTATGATTGCTTTCAGCTGCTTATTTTGTTTAGAGATGATAATTTCTCCTGGGCATAGTGAACTCAATTTTTTTGTGAACTTTGAAAACCAGGATACCTAAATGAGAGTAATTGTTGTACAAAGATAATGTGACACTCCCTCTCACAGAATTCTGTACAGCTATTAAAAATAAGGGGAAACTAGAACTATTTTTAAAACATTTCATAGATTTTTTTTAAGATCATTTCTCTGTTGCCATTCATGTTTCTCTGGCAGAAGAAAATCATTGAAAGATACTGTAAATTAAAAAATATTGTAGAGCTGCAGCAGTTCTTCCCACACATACGACATGAATATTTCTCAGTCATTGTGTCACAGGGAGCAAATACTGCAAGTATACATCCACTGTTACTTGGCTTTAGATGGCTCTAAAGCATGAGAAGTATTAGCTAAGGTTATGGAGGCCCATCTCCATGGAGACAGTCATCCTGTTGTAAAGCATGTCCTTTCTGCCTCACATTAAGTAGAGGGCAAGTCTACAGAGTACCTTATTTAGGTGATATGCATGCTACTTTGGCTTTTTAACAATTTTATCTAGAAATGTAAGGTACAAAATTATGTAACAAAAGGAATATACTTCTTGTAAGTACTGAGTTTCAAGAATCAGGGTAAATTTCATTTTCAGGGAAGTTAACAAAGTGACCTCTTTCAAAGATATTAATGAAAAAAGGTCATTCATCTGTGAGCCTCTGAACGCTTTCCATGTCACTCCTAACCACAGAGAAGAAATCTCAAGGCAGCAATGGGTGGATTTTTAATGGAGCTTTTCCAGTTGAGAGATAGATTAAGAGCCTATGGAACAGTCATAAAGACTCATTTTTTCAGTAGATTGTATTTACACACTTTCACAAAGCAGTTCACCACTTTTGAACATGAACTAAATACTCTTGGGGGGGGGGGGGGAAGGCAAGCATCATCAGAGAACTCTTGATTCATTCTAGCGTTGCCTGAAAGGTTTTCTTCCAAGGAAATGAAAAATAAAATAAGATTAAAAAATAAAATAAAATAAACATTATTTTATGGACCAAGCATGAAGTTTATTTCACTTATAATCATCCAGTTTTTCAATGAGTGTTAATTTGCTGCTGTTATTGGTTTAATATTATTATTTGATAAATATTTATTTTTTGTAAGTTTATTTTACTAATTAAGACCTCACTGAAATTTATTTGATTTTGTGTTGCCAGCATGTGTTTACTAAATAGAGAAAAGGATTGGGTTCTTTAAGGTTCTTCTATAATGTTTTACTGCATTCTTAAAATGCCAACTGATATGTCCTCTCACTCTTCCACTGCAAACACACATGCTTCTACATGGAATTCCTTCAGAAAAAAAGGAAAACTACAGGATTCTTAATTAAAATGTAAGTCAAACCAAACCAAAACAAAAAAAAAACCAAAACCCACAACTGTTAAAATGACAAATACAATGGAATTCATCTTTTACCCTCCAGCCTGCACTCATGAACTTGCTTCCAGTATTTTGTTTTTTTCTCAATGAAGTCCACTGTGATCAGTAGTGAAACTGCCTTTTGTGAGACTTTCGTGGAACTCTGTAGGACTCAGTGAGTTTAGGTACATACTTTTAGCAAATGGTGCAGGAATTAACTCAAGGTAAAAACTACTACATTTTTAGAAGTTATTTAGTACTTCCATTCTTGAAAGAAAAGTGTTTGTCACTGAAAAGTTTAAAAGTAAATGGCATTTAGTGTATTACTAAGGGCCCTTTGTCAACTATATACCATTGCTGAAAGAACAAAGCTTTTGAAATATCTATATTGTCCATCACAGGCAAAACCCTCAAATAGTAAATATTTTTGTATTACATGGAGGGTACATAGGGTAACATTTTAATTTCCTGTGGACGAAAATATTTTTGTTCTGTAATAGGACATAAAATCTGTCTAATCCACATTGATTACAGCAAACCAGTTATAGATGTTATGAAGTTTTAATTTATGTATGCTGAAAAGCTGAACACTTTCCCTCAAATTCATTTAAAGAAATACAATCAGATTATGAACTCATGGTATCTGCGGGTACAATGAAAATAAAACTTGATCTAAATATGCAGGTCTTCCCAGGGTTTTAGATTTCATGCTCATCCAGAAAATCTACTTCTGAACTGCACGCACAGGCTTACATTATAGTTGCAGTGAACAGTTTTTCCATGCATCACCAGTTTGATTCCTAGCAACACAAGCTCTTTTAGTTCAAAATGCATCAAGTTAGATGTTATTAAAATTCTTGGCTAAATTAAAATACTCTTTTGTCAGTGAACACAATGCAGAAGTTGTTTCAAAATCAGATCATAGGAATACATTCAGTAGTTTTCTATTACAATATTGAAGTCTTT